TTGGCCAGAACGGCAGCAGTTTGGGGATTTTCAGTGAAATAAGGCCGAAGGCACCACTGTGGTAAAGCCCAAGGCACCCAGAAGAGCAGCCCCAGCTCTGCCTCTTTTCCCTCCGAGCTGGGCAGGGTGGGAAGTGGAAGGTGCAGATCGGGCTCGTTGTCATTTTTGCTCCCACCGATGTGGCCGAGGGCTATAGCAGGACACGCCAGGTTGGGTGTTCCTCCTTCATCCTCCTCCCGGAGCCACTCCTGGCTGCTGTGCGATCTCACCCGGAGTTGCTGGACTTGTCACCCTGATCATTGCTGAAACGAAGCCCCTGGTTGCCAGCCCAGCCCACCCAGCATTGCCCCCAGCGTGCAACGCCTCTCTCTCTCTCTCCCCTTTCCGAATCCAGCCCTGCTGCCAACTGCAAAGTCCTGGCCTGAAAAGGAATAACAAGACTTTAGGAAACGGCTTTGCAGTGCCTGCTACCCAGAGAGGGAAGGATTTAGCCTAAAGCCTGTATAAATGCTCTGTACTTATTGCAGGTTTCCTTCCCCCAGCTTCTCTGATCCCAGGAGACCCGTGAGCAATCCCGATGCTCCAGCTCCGTGCCGGCAGGCCCTGTGCGCTGCGAGCCATCCGCCCCTGTGGCCTGCGAGCCATCACTGCGGGACCAGGCTGGAGGACAACATGCCGGGGGGTTAGAAGGGGCTACAGCCAACAGGACCCCCCCAGATCCAGCTGGGGTTGCATCACTGCCTGCATCTCCATCACGCGGGGGTGGTGGGCCCACGCTGGATGTTGTGGGATCCCTGGGTTTAATCACACAGCCATTGTCTGCCTCGCTGGCATGCTCGGTCGCTAATTTACTTGTAAAGACCAGTAGCATCGAGAGACCGGGATTCCTCCAGCTCCATGTCCTCAAAATGGCTGGGAAGAGCTGGGTGAGAGAGGTGACAGTGCTGGGAGCTGCTGTCCCCCTCCCTGGCCCTGGACAGCCCTGGGGAAGTGAAACCCAAGCTGCTTGGGCAGCATAAAGCTGGGAGCAGAAATTCCTCCTCTGATTGAAACCAGACCTCAGGCGGTGCTGCCGGGGCTGGTGGGGAATGTGTTTAAACCAAACCAGCCCAGACATTCCTTCTTACATGGAAACAGGGTTCATCTGCACTGGTGTCGAAGTCCAACAGACGCGGCTTTGTGCAGAAACCAAGGTCTGTGGTGCCATCAAAGCAAACCTCTCAATGGGACCCTGCCCCGAGCCCCCAGCTCCCAGAGGGGACCCCAACTCCTGGGGCCGCCCCAACCTCCAGCTCACCCCCTTCACATGTGGAAGCAGGATGGTGTGGGATGCTGGGGACATCAGCTTGGGGACCAGGACAGCAGCAGCACCGGGGTGATGCCCAGGAAGGGAGCACAGGATGAAGACACCCAGGCAGGACCCTCGACAGCAGCAGTCAGAGGGGAGGCGGGTAGGTGAGATGGGGACAGCGCAGTCTCCCCGTGATCTCAAACCTTGTGTCAGCTTTCCACCTCCCTCCCCAAAAAATCCCTACCAACCCACACAATCTAAAAAACCCCAAGGATTAGGAAATCCAAGGGAACAAACGGAAGCGGAGAGGGGCCCTGGGAGTGGGGCTGGGTGCTGGCCAGTGCTCACAGGCAGGGCAGGGCAGGGCAGGGCAGGGCGAGAAGCTGCCAAGGCAGCCCTGGAGAGCACTTCCCACCAGGATCAACCTGGTCCTGGCCTGGGAACTGTTGCAAAACCCCCCAGTCCCACCCTGGGATTTGAGGAAACTGAAACTTTATGATGCAATTGGGAGGGATGAAGCAAGAGGTCCTCGCTCAGGAAGCAGGTGACACATCCAGCACCGTGGGGCTGCACGGGCAAGGCATCAACCAGCTGCTAAATTTCCTCAGACCCCGAGCAGCCTCCGGTGTCACCACCTTCCTCTTTGTCCCCCCCCGCCCCGTGCCAAGCTCTCCCACCGGCAGGAACTGGCCGTCCCCTGGGAGCGCAGCCCCTGTCACAGCCGGACCCTTCAGCGGTAAGCGAGGATGACAGGGTTATTGGGAAACAAGTCGACACTTCCAAACAGATTCTCTTTGCTGCTCTTTTCCTTCCTGAAGCTGGTCTGAGCGTGGCAGGGGTTGCTCAGGAAAGCCAGCAAGCTAATATATTCATGTCATCTTGCATTTGGTGCCAGGACATGAAGTAAACACCGTCAGGGACCTTGCTCCGGTTCAAAGACAAGCCCTGTTTCTTATTCCGATCACATTATCCATGCTCCCCGTACAGCTTCATTGATTCATATCTTAAAAAGAAAAGCCTTCAAAACCCATTAAGTCTGCCTTGCCGTTCCAGCCCTGCTCTCAAGGGCCAGGGCAAGAAGCATTAACTAATCTGCTCACATTACCTTGCCTTTGAACCAAGCATCTCTCGGCGTCAATTAGGACTGTTTGGAAGTGATACGCTCCCACGAGGGGCAAGTTTTGGCCGGTGAAGTCACCCAATGTCAAGTGCGTGGAGGGACCGGCACTTAGGGATTGCTCCCTGCACCGGGCTTCCTTTTGGACCCGGGGAGCCCCCAGGGCTCGTGCCTACGGAAGGATGGTGGAGCAGCCCAAGTTATGGTCCTCTGGCTGGTTACGGAGGGCCGTACGGTTATAAACAAGCCCATGAAGGAGCAAGCTCCTGCGGCTGCTCTTTCTCAGGGCTTCAGACAGCATCTGGGATGCGAGAGCGGGGACCTTGCTGGTGTCAGCCCGGCTGGATCTCAGTGAGAAGGGTTTGCAAGCAGCGACGTCCTCCCAGGGATTACGAAAGCCACGTTGCCTCTTGCCAGGGAAAAGAAGGTCCTTCCAGCCTCATGGGCCCCAGCTCAGCCAGCAGCCGCTGTTTATTTGGCTCCAATGACTTCACAGCATACCGAAACATGCTCCTGGGGGCCCACCGTGCTCCAGCGGTGCTGGCTGGGATGTCGGGCTCGGCCACCCCACGTGCTCCCCTGTGCCTTGCGTAAGGCAGCTCCGCACACCCCGGCCTGACTTCCACTTGGGAAGAAATTATTCACGCTCGTTTCCATCTGGCTGCAGAAGATGCTTGGGATGTTTCTTCCACCGCCCTTCCGAAGGCTTCCCATCCCACCAGTGCCAGCAACGAGGCCGGATCCGTCCCCTCTGCCCCTGGCCAACCCCCAAGTTCAGGGATGGGGACTGTTTACCAGACGAGTTTAGAGGGATTTGGTTTTACTGACATTTCAAGTGCTGCTCGTGATGGTTGTTTTTAGGGCTTGGAGCACTTTGAGAGGACATGTCCACCAAGAGGGGATTAACCACAGCTGTCCCAGGCCCCTGCCATGGCTGGGCTTGGGGGGCATCTCCAGCCCCGGCTGGATAGGGACGGAAAGCCAGGCTTGCTGGAAAGCTCAGCTTTGCTTTCTCTTTCAGATCTAACCAGTCTTTGAACCCAGACCCATCTAGATTGCCTGGATTCTGTTGCGGTTTCAAAATCCTTTTGCAGGGCGAAGCTGTTTTCCAGCCGAGTTATGGGAATGCCCAGCTTGGGGCTTTTCTCAACTTTCCTGCCACAGCCAGCATCCGTCCCACGTCAGCCCCATCTCGTGCCCCAGGGCCAAAACAGAGCTGGAGCATGGCAGAAGAGGGAGAACCCGCAGGGTTGTGTGCAGCCCCACGGGCACAGCCCCAAAGGGAGCCAGGTCCCGACTTTGGTGAGCATCAGCGTTAGAGCCCCGATGGTCTCCGCAGCTCGGAGCCCGCTGCCGTGGTGTCGGAGTGGGGCAGGCAGCGCCGGGGGTGTGGGCAGCAGAGAGCACTCACCTGAGGTCCCTAGCAGCAAAACCCCACTTGGGGGCAAAAATCCACGTGGGGACAAAAACCCACCGGGGCACTGACCCACGGCTGCCTGGGAAGCCAATGCCCCCCGCCCCCCCCCTCTCCGGGTCAGGACCTTCGCGCACCATTAAACCCTACGGGTGTGTGTTCACGGGCGTGCATATGCACACACATGGCTGTGTTGCCCTCTCTCTCGCAGAGGTTCCTTTCCCAGTTCTTCTCTTTAACCTCAACCCACGAAGTCACCCACTCCAGCAGACGTGTTTTGCATTGCAAAGGGCTGAGCTGGGACAAGGGGTGTGAAGGCACTTCGCTACCTGTGGTCGGGGACATCTAAGGAGCTTAGAGGAGAGGGAAAGTCTTCCCTGGCAAGACAACAGAAAGGGGCACAGGGGGTTGGGGGGAGACCGTGGGGCCAGAGCCGTGCCGTGGGGAGAGGTGTGCGTGCTGCTGAGCGATGGGAGAAAGGGGAGGAGGCGGCAAACCCAACCCAGGCGAGGGGAGGATGCAGCTGAGGTCTCGGGATCAGCTGGCTG